TAAACTTTGCCACTGCTACTGGAGCGAGATGGTATCTCATTGTGGTTTTGATTTGCTGTGTATTTTTTTTTAATTGGTGAAAGCAGGCACTAATGTAGGTCTTTTAGAAAAATAAAACGGCATAAAGCAAATTTTATTTTTTTATTGAGAAAAAACATATTGGGGATACAAGGAGGTGAGGGTTGGGGGCAGAAGGGTGAGGATGGGCAGGGATGCAGTTGCAGAGCTGCAGAAATTGGTTGGTGGAAGGTGGCCTATTTGAAGCAGAGGCTCAAAGAGGTCCCGTGACTTGCCTCGGTCCACACAGCTAGGAAGTTGCTTGACAAATGGCCAAACCCTGGACCAACTGGCCCCACAACCTCATTCTGTTCCCCATGATCCTGCCATAGCCACACACACAGAAATTGGATTGATGCATAGTGTCCTGTCAGCTTGCAGGGTGGGGGAGTGGCATGTAGCCAGCACACATTCCCTAGGATGGCGTTGATGGCCTAGTGTCTGCCCAGCCACCTCCAGCCACGCTTCAGAAGTCAGAATACTCCTGTAGCCAAACTACATCTTCCAGGTTGCTCTGATATCCGGAAGTGGCCTGAAGATCCTTTGAATTGTTACTTGATTTTTGCTTTGGAAAATATGGTCAGTGGTAATTACGGGTATGCAAAAGTTCAGAGGAGAGAGAGGCGCTCCTGTGGGTTGGAGTGGGCTGGAAAGCTTCACCCAGAGCTGGGCCTGGAGCTGGGCCCACAGCTTCTGAGGGGACCGAGAGGGGTCTGGGGAGGGGCAGGGAGAGGCTGAGTTCATAACTTCCTAGGAAAGCTCCCTAAAAAGCCTACAGCATTTGGAGCGGGGCACACAATTCTACGAGGCCATCGTCCCACATAGTCCAGCCTCCCCACTTTTTTTCGCCAGTTTCCGTGGCAGTCCAGGCTCCAGGCATGGCCAGCTTATTCTCAGTCCACAGACCTTTGCTCATACTCTGCAGCTCTTCTGCCCCTTCCCC